CTGCTCCTGCACGGAGCGGATGAAGCTGGGAGCTGGACACGTTCCGAACGGGGCCTAAACCGATGAATATACTGCAATTTGCTAAACTAAAAGTTAACGAGATCTGGACCAAGCCTACCTTGATGCTTGCGGTAGAGCAGAACACAACGACGGTGTCCTCTCTCTCTCTCTCTGCACGATGGTCGCCGCACTCGATTTTGAAAGAAAATCAATGAGAGGAAAGTGGGAGACCAGAAAACCAGTGTGGTTTTTCCCAGGGGATATTTTGCTTTCACGCGTTGGATGCCGCCTCGGTCGCGTGAGAGGAAAGGCCGTCATAAACTATCTGCGTGTCCCCAGAGAGGACAAGCAGCTGCTGCTAGGTGCTTAGAGCAGGGTGGCGCTTTCACGCGCTAATCAAGGAAGAATCCTACATAAACGTTAAGGGCTATTGCTTAATTATTAAGTTAGCGGCACTGGTATTTTTATGCAAGGCCTCGTCAGCCTGCCTTGGAAGGTCCGTATGTGCACTGGACAACATTTCAGGACTTTGTAATAATCGTTTAGTGCACAACGCACGATTAGTTGCTTCTTTGCTTATAACAAGGCTAGAAATAATTATTAGAAACGCTAGTCTTCAGAAACGAGGCTGAATCCATAGGACTTGTCCTTCGACGTGCAGCTCAAGACATTTTTCTTTGGTCCAATAGACGCTGCTAGAAAGCAAATTCTTTTTGATTGGGGAATCATGCTGTCCCGGTTAGATGTAGCATAGAGTATCAGTTTTTTCCTTTTTTCTCCCCCCTCTTCGCCTTCTTTGTATATACTCTTTGTCAAACCTCAAAATTTATAAGCAGGCGCGTTTTCCACTTTTCTTCCGCATCTCCTCCATTGCGCCTGTAGTTTAACCAAGTAGTCACCGTTCTCCTATCTTCCCTCACTGCCCGCCAGCTGCGGTCGATTCCACCATTTGAAGTCATCTTTCCATATGAGTTTCTTTTCTTTTTTTAGGACAGGGTTTGGAAATCTGGGCTCATACGCTAGGACCCACGATCTACAAGCCTAGCCGCCACCTCCTCCTCCTCCACAAAAAGCTAGGGTTTCTGCCTCCCGCGGCGCCGCCGCAGGTCCGCCTCCTCTCCGGTGGCCCTAGGGCAATGGGGAAGCGGTGGATCTCGGCAAGGGCCGGCGGGAGGGCTCCGTTTTTAGTCTTTTCTTTCAGTTTTGCTAGGGTTTCTGTCCTGTTTAGGAAGGCGAGACGGCGGCGGCTCCCTGAAGATGGAATAAAGATCTAACCGCCTAGTCCCCGTTCCGGCGGTGCGTCTAGTACAGTTGGTGGGCGTGTGGAGGTGCGTCTCCGGCGGATCTATCTTTGGTGGATTTGCTCGGACCTCGTCATTGTTCGTCTACGTTCATGTGTCTTCTGATTGGATCCTTCCGATCTACGTTATTATTCATCTACGACAGTTGCTGTTCTGGTGCGCTGGTCCTACGAGGCCTTAGCACGATGACTTCCCGACTGTCTACTAAAACAAGTTGTGGCCGACTCAGGCGATGGAGGGGCGATGACGGCGGCGCGCCTTCGGCTCACTTCAGTGCTTGTAGTCGTCGCTAGATGGTCTACAGATCTGGTTGTAATTTCTAATATTTCTGGTATTCGTTGTACTGCCATATTTGAAGATGAAAAGATTGGAAATTTTCTCGCAAAAAACAACCTCAAAATTTATAAAATGTTCAGGCTGGCTTTGCCCGCCGTAGTTCCCTCAAAAACATGGTGTTTTGGCGATACACATATCATACATGCATGGATCTACCTAGGAGGACTAGTTTGTTAAGGAGATACTAACAAACAGGTTTACCTCGACCTGACAACACCGGCGAACACTAACAGGGTGTTTGTTTCCAGGAACTTATTGGTCTTGGGACTTAAAAAAGTCCCTATAAGTCCCATCTAAACCAAACAGGAGGGAATTATAGGGACTTAAAGTGGGCATTTGGGACTTATGAAATAAGACTCTCAAGAAGGGACTTATAGGGACTTATAGTTGTAATATGGTCTTATAGAAACTTATAAGTCCCAGGAACCAAACAGGTAGGGACTTTTTAAGGACTTGGAACTTATAAGTTGGGACTAAAGTCGTAGGACTTATAAACCAAACAGGGCCTAACTTCAAAAGAAAAAAAACACCGGCGAACACTAATCAGATCACACGAGAACTTTCCCCCTGTTGGAAAAACGGTAGTCCAAAACAGTTCAAAAAAAAAAACTCAACCAGACACGTAAAAGCCCCTGGCCGACAAACTCAAGCCCAGCCCGTTTGAGCAAGATTCGCTGACATGACAAAGAAAAACAAACGAACAAAAAAGAAAGAAATGGGCCGTGCGCACCTACACAGGTCGATTCTAAACAAGAAATCTAGTTGCGCAAATCTCGTTGCCTCAAAAAAAAAGTTGTGTGAATCTCGATCGAAGCATCAAACAATCCAACGGCCTATGCGTCGGCTAAGACTTTGTTAAAACTCAGTAGTTGTAGCAATCCGGTTCTTGGTATGTATCTACTACTACTATAAAAGGAAGAGAAGAGCAGATCCAAGCAATCACACCCATCCATCATCAAGATTTAACGGTTCTTAATCCTTCTGTGTTTAACGCTACCAACCACGCAATAAGCCACAATAGATCGATCGCTAATCTGCCCCCAGTAAAAAAAAGAACCGTTCGCTCGCACGACCTCCTCCTTCTCCTCCCGCACGACCTCCTCCTCCTCCTCCCGCGCCGTTCGCCTCCCGCAACCGCGCCCATCGCCGTAGGCTCGCGCCGAGCCACGGGAAGCCGCGCCCTTCACTGTCGCCTCACGCCGCCGGAGCCACGGGAGCCGCCGCGGGTCGCCGCCTCCCCACCCGCGGGAGCCGCCCCGTCGCGCCCTTCGCCGCCTCCCGCGGCGCCTCGTGTCGCCGCCTCCCCAGTCGCGGGAGCCGCGGCGCCTCGTGTCGCCGCCTCCCCACCCGCGGGAGCCGCCCCGTCGCGCCCTTCGCCGCCTCTCGCGGCGCCGCGTGTCGCCGCCTCCCCAGCCGCCGGAGCCACCCCGCCGCGCACTTCGCCGCCTCTGGAGCCGCAGCTTGGCCTCCGCCACGCCGCCCCTCCGCCTCCATCGCAAGTAAGTTTCTTTTTGCAAGATGCCTCTAGGAAGAACTCAACCTACTACAAGCATTGGAATCTATGTTAGCAGAGAACTGGACGATCATGGCAAGATGTGCTGATTCAGCAGGCACACTCCTAATGGATTCATCAATGGTAGTAGAGTGCCACCAATGGATTCATCTATGAGCTATGGGTTGTCAAGGCTACAGTAGTAATTATAAGTAAGCTAATACTGATATTATTTGTAACAATTGTATATTCCATGTAGCAGTCTGAAACTTTGTTTATGGTGTCAAAACCAAGTTGTGTAGCATAATTTAAGTTTTACTTGTATGGTTAGAAGATTCACTTGTTTCACGACTCTAAAATATTTTTTTGTTTTCAGGCTTTTAACTTCTGTAATAGAGTTTCAGAAACCAAAAGCCTGTTGTAAATTATGGCAATTCTCTGACTTTTTTTGGTAATGCCTAATGCCTCCAGGTCCTATTTGAATCACAGTAAAACCGTAGCAGAGATAGAAGTATCAGATCACCGGGGCATGAAAATGTTCACCGCTGTGTTCAATGAACCCCACTGTACTATTAGTCAGTACTTGGATTTGAGCAATCAAAATATGCCTTGCATGAAGAAGATGAAGGAGTATAAATTTAGGTGTTCTTTCAAGTAAGATTTGATAACTGACGAAACTGAGTAAAAGTATTGCCATAGTGTGTGACATACCAATCTGCAACATACCAAACTGAGTTTCTTTTGCACTTCCAACCAAAGGACAGAGGATTTTGTTCAGGGGATTTCCAATTGCTGAACTGTACAGGGGATTTTGTTCATGCCTTACGGTTCTCAATCCTATACATTAGGGTTCTGCACATGGGATTTTGTTCATGCATGACTCACTGTACAATAGGAATTGTTGACAATTCATAAACAATAACAAAATCACAGGGTCAGATCGAGGAGCGATTGGAGGTAACAAATACAGTATATGTTTTCTGTAGCGAAGGTGTGGGTTGTTATTAAAGGGTAGTTCTAACATCAGAAATCAATCCAATTTAGGCTATGATAGAACAATAATGTTGTATGTGTAACTGCCATCAAATATTCATGAAAGTTATCCTTAATATGACCAGCAATCAACACCCACATACAAGTTTCTCTATTTACCTCATCATGTTTCCCTGAAACTTGATGCACATGCCAATGTGATTCAGAGTTTTTAGTGAGGCTGCAGATTCTAGAAATGGGTTAATCATATTCATTATTCCTGCACAAGACAATCCACCGGATATTAGGTATTGTTATTGTTTCATTAGTGTCCCGAGGCCCTCACTTATCCAGATCAAATCTCTAAAAAAAGCGCAAGGTGTGAACACAGAAGAAATTGGCAGCAAACTGTAAACCAGTAACCAAGATCTAAATTTCAACGCTAAAACAGTCATGTATACTCAGAGACCAAGCACAAACCAATTTCGTATTCTCTAACCAAAAATTTACCAGCATAGACGTTTAGGCGCTGGCATGGCAATGTTTCTGTACAGAGTACTTTCTACAACAGGATTACATGTATTCTCAGTTTGGTTATTTCGTTCTTTGTTGCTGTGATCCTCTGATTGGGTCGTCGATTTTGTCGCTGATTTGGGGATTGTTCTCCTAGATTGAAGATTGATCTGTGTTACCTCTCTTTGAAAAGAAGAGAAAATGGGGACTTTTGATTTGTGTACTAGAATTGTCCCTGATCCTTCCTTACATAATGGTCAAAATCAGGTCGTGCTACACAGTCATGGAGCTGGAGCATCAGGTTATGTTTCTAATTACTATCGCATGCGTTGGTGATGGGTATGTAAGTTTGCAGGCGAGTGCAAGGTAAGTAGCAGACAGGCTAGATGCACTCTGTTTGTGACGACGGTCAGATGAATTGTGCAAGGCACATGCCAGCTTGTTCATGTTCCGTGCACACGTTAATGCTACAAAAGGCCAAAAGCGATGCACTGATCATGTTCCAGGTACAGCGTTGTGCTACATGAACGATGCCCAAGTTATGTGAATACATACTTTTACCTGGTACATGATCGGTTTACCATGTGCCTGTGGGCAAGCCATTACACCTATAAATGATCGGCATGATTAACAGATTTAACTTAAAAATAAAAAATCGTTTGACTGCTGATCGGCACGTCATGTACTTTTGACCTCTGATCCCCAAAGGTTCATTTGACTGCTGATGCCATCTTCTGTTTCTTCTCTTAGATTATACTCTTATATTATATCTGGTTTCTTTGACTGCGGATTCAGGGCTAAAATTTGCTCCTTCTTTTCCTCTAATTATTCATTTCAGTTTGGTTGAGATCAGAAGTGTTTCAATTAGCATGATTGTTTGTCAATGATCACCACAATCAGGGACTCTTATACTTTTGATCATGCACATCTTTAATACGAATTGGTGTTCTTTTACCAACTACATGTTCATGTTTCAGATTATCAAGAATGATGAGCTCCAAGAACCCAGTTCTGAAACTTTTGTAACTGTATATCTTGGTAAATTGAGGGGCTCTAATGTTGCAATAAAAAGAAATGGCATATGTTTCCCCGGGAAGCCATCTCAGCGAGACAAAATGGTATAATCCTTATATTTTAGATTTTCTGTCGAGCATAATGCAGTGTAGCGATAGTGACATACAAAGGTCATTTCTGTCCAGCATGTCAATGCTCTCTTGAGAGGGGTCAATTAGATTGGACAATGGCTTCGCTGAGAACCAGCGAGTATCAAGGTATGTACTTAATAATAGTAAGAGAGTCGTAGTTCTTGCATTTTATAACAGATAGGTACAGTCAAAGAATGATTAGAGAGCATCATGAAGTAGTGATGGAATTATATACCGTTTAAGTTTCTGAAATCTGAACCCAAGAATATCCAAACCTTCTTACAGTGTTAGTCACACTTGTGTCAGCACAAGAAATCTTGATAACATGCTACTGCTGCTTGGTGTTGCTTTTTGCATAAATTCAATTGCATGTAGTTTCTGCTTTGCCAATGCTTCTCTATCATCATATCTCCGAGTTGATCCGGTAGCCATTGTCCTCCTATTTTTCCTCGCTCCAGCTATTATTGGTCACGTCTTTTATGAAAAAGAGCAGCCACTGTGGGCTGAAGCTTCACAATCGGCAACCCCATCAATTGTACGTCGTTGTCTTCCCAAGTTCCCAGCCTAATCATCACCGTCATTGTCTCTTGGTGCAGGTCCACACAAGCACATGTGGCTTCTTCAATAATAAGACCTTGATTTTCTCACTAGAAGATAGATATGGCAAGGAGGGCGCATCGAGAACAAAGCATCTTCTAGCCAAAAGAAGGTGAGTCTGTACGTGTTGTCTTCGTGGATTGGTGGCATGATGCCAATGTATGCATGGTGGATTGAATGTGGCGCTAAAAGCATGGATGGGCGACTCATCAAGAGTAAGAAAAAAGGCATACGCCAGTTTCAGTGATATAGAACCCGTTTGTAAAACAAAAGAATCTTTTGATCAAATGTTATTTCATATTTTTTTTGCTACCATGGCAACGCAGACACATTACCTATTCAAATTAAAAAACAGTATAATTGAGCTACCTATGAGCGATCAAAGCGATTTGAGGTTCTCAGCCTTCTTAAATTTGATTCTATGTTGTGTGCATTTTCAAAGCAGACATGAGTGTTATCCTTTGTGTTTACCATGCCTTCTTTACTTAAAAAACATATTATATCTATTTGAATTTTAGTTGAGTAAAAATAAATTCAAACACAAAGCAAAAAAGCTTTGTCGTTTCATTCATTAAGCAGAAGATTGTCCAGTTAATCATGAAAAAAATGAGAAAACCAAAACAAAAGGGCCAAGCCCAGTCTATAGAACACTGTAAATACACAGGGCTGAGCCCACTCTTGATAGCAATGCCACAACAAAAGCCAACCAAACACACACTAGCTGGGGGACTCGCTCTATCGAACAGGCCGCTTTTCCATCATTGCGGGAAAGAAGTCATTAGGCACTCTCCCGCGGTGAAGAAAAGAATCATTCCACATGCCTGCAATGGTTGCAACCTACAAAACACAAGGTCCACGTCGTCGAACTTGCAAAACTCTCAGGGTTGCCGCCCCGACATGTACTGCTTAAACAAGCCTTGCACACTTCACTTTTGAAGTTGTCGCACCAACACGCCACTGCAGAGACGTGCGTTGCACGTGCAGCTTACTAGTAAAGCACTAGTTGAGTAGCTGCCCGAGCAATCCGGTTCTTGGTATGTATTAGATTGTCTGAGGGATGATGCACTGCCACGTGAACGGGGTTCGTTGAGCACGTACGGATGCTCTGAAGGAAAGGACCAAGAATTTGAATTTGACGTACGAGGAGTTATACGGGACACAAACAGCATGGAAGGTTGCGCACAAAACCACGGTTGTTAATAGGAGGCATTATGAATCGGGTACGACTATGTCACATCTAGATGTAAGATAATATCTCACATCTAACAATGTCATGTGTAAGTATGATTTCAGCGCGACCTCACATAATCATTGTTTTTTTAACTTATTGTTTGCTTTTATTTGTTTGATTATTTGTCAAAGCGCAAAACAGACAAATCAGTTTGCCCACATGTCCGCTGGTTGGGCTGGCCCATACGTCAAACCACTAACTTAGTTTTACTGGTATGGCACATCTGATCACTAGCTTTTTGTATTAAAAAAATCTATCGCTAGCTTTGAACAGTACTATCATAGATTTGTTCGCCTGGAAAGAAGGGGTTGGCCAAACGGATATTTCTGCCAGCTGTGTGTCCGAAGCTTGGAATCCTGTGTGCACGTATTCTGGCAATGCCCGGTGTCGATTGCAGTGTGGACTGACGCTGCGACCGGCAACGGATGCAGCTCGCTTCACACAAGCAAGTGGCAAAACAAAAGCAAGCCGGCGGCTATCATAGCTGCAATGATCAGTGGAGCAAGACCTGAACAGAAGAAGGCCATCAAAACCATGATCATCCTCATTCTATCTGAGCTTTGGAAGGAGAGAAACGAGTGTTACTTTCAGAAGCAAGGTAGCAGCACTGACAAGCATCAACGAGGCCATCAGAAGAACTCTTGAATTTTGGCGCCAAGCGGGAGTAGCATTTTTGGAGCACCCTTTTGGGGGCCCTCCGTGAGATATATATTGCTATAGCCTTTTTGGTTTTTTAGCCTTCTTTTTATGAAGATCGGAGGTACCCTATGGAGTATGTACGTCTCTGATCGCTAGCTTCCTGTAGGCTACGAACGAAACCTTTTTCTTCTGCCTTTTCGTTTTTGTAATCTTCACCATTACATTTTGTATATTGATTTTCAATAAACACAAAGTTTCATCAAAACATGTTAACGAATTTAAATAAATATTTTCAAATTAGAAAAATGTTAATGAACATGTTCTAATATACAGTGAACAATCTGTCTTAAAATGTTCAAAATTTTGAAAAAAATGTACTTTAAATTCATAACTGTTCACAGATGTGAGAAAAATGTTCATGGATTTTTAATAAAATCAAAAGTGCTCATAAATTTTATAGAGTTCATGAATTAAGAATTTCCAGCAATTTGGAAACATCTTTTAAAATGCAATTAAATTTTCTAAAATACTTTATGTGTACTTTAAAACATGGATATTTTACAGAGTTCATGAATTAAGAATTTCCAACAATTTGGAAACATCTTTCAAAATGCAATTAAATTTTCTAAAATACTTTATGTATACTTTAAAACATGGTGAACATTTCTAAAAATATGTGGTGCAAGCTGTGAGTTAATAGTTGTCTTGCAACTAGGAAGTGCAAGGTCAACTGGAAGCTTGTCACCTCGCTGGTGGACCGCGGCGGCTTGGGCATCCCGGACATGGAGCAGTTCGCGCGCGCGCTCCGCCTGCGCTGGCTCTGGCTGGCATGGAAGCACACAGACAGGCCGTGGGTTGGTACCGGCTCACCTTGCGATGACAGAGAGCTCTTCGCCTCTGCAACGACGGTGGTAGTTGGCAATGGCAAGAGGGCCTCTTTCAGGAACTGCACCTGGTCGGCAACCAGCCGCTCAACCAGTGGTTCCCACTGCTGTTTAGGCACTCCCTGAGGAAGAACCGCTCACTGGCCGAGGCCCTCCGAGACGACAGGTGGATCCTTGATCTAAGGCGGGGCAATCCAAACGAGATCATACCACAGCTCATCTCACTCCGGCGCTGCATCCGCGAAACCAACGTCACACTACACGAAGACTGAAGATGAGATCTCTTGGCGGTCCGGGGGCAATACACCGCCAAATCAGCCTACAACATGCAGTTCGCCACCCAACCAAGAGGAGTGCTCCAGCAGCTCGCCTGGAGGGTCTGGACGCCGGGGAAAAATCAAATTCTTCATGTGGTTGCTGCACCACGACCAGCTTTGGTGCAACGATTGTCTGCAGCGGCGTGGATGGGAGAACGGCTACTTCTGCCAGCTTTGACACCGAAGCTTAGAGTCCTCGGTGCACCTGCTATGGGAATGCCCAACCTCAAAGCAAATTTGGGCAAAAGCAGCATCATGGTATGGCTGCCAAGCGTTCGATCTGGCAACCTGGGCACGGTGCAAGTCCACAACGGAGGCCGCCACTGCCATTGTCGTTGTATCACCCCCGACGCAAAAAAGGGAACTAATACCATGATGGCCCTGGTGGCATGGCATATTTGGCAGGAGCGCAACAGCTGCGCCTTTAGGAGGAAGCTGGCGTGCATCGGCGACGTGATCGGAGCCTGCCGAAGAGATATCGAGCAATGGAGACTGACCGGGGCAAACGTCCTAGCGCCCCCTCTGGGGAGATTACGTGAGAATTAGACCATAGATCACCGTGGGAGGGGAGCCTGCATACTCCACCCCACACATTTTTTCTAACGGGCATTTTTGCTGATCGTTTTGATCACAACATTTTTTGTAAACTCTTTCCTGCTAAATCAATGAAAAGCCAGTCAGCCACCCTTGCATGACTCTTGTGCACCATATTAAGGGTACTGTTCAATTAAAGGTCTTATACCTAACCAGGAGTCCTACAATCCTAGAAGCGAGCCGTGATGCCATTGTTGACAACAATGGTATTCTTGACCCTCATGATACTCCTCTACATCTGCAAACCGTCACATTTAAAATCTGAGTTCATATAAGACCTTTGGATAGAGGTATTTTGTGGTGTAGCAAATGTGGGTACATTTGGTTGTTCGATTGAGCTTGCTTAGGCAAGCAATAGAATGCTAGCTCATCTTGGCATAAGAATTGAGTGGCATATGCCATGTTCAATACTACATGACTACTCCCTCCGTTCCAAAATAGATGACTCAACTTTGTACTAATTTTAGAACAAAATTAGTATAAAGTTGGGTCATCTATTTTGGAATGGAGGGAGTAATAGTGTTTGATTGTGCTTAGGGAAAATGTAGGATTCTTCACATAAGGTTGGAGTGGATGAAAATTTTCCTATGAAAACTAGTACAGATGAATTTTAAGGAAAATCCTATGGGTTGTAATCCTACAACAACAACAACAACAACAACAACAACAACAACAAAGCCTTTAGTCCCAAACAAGTTGGGGTAGGCTAGAGGTGAAACCCATAAGATCTCGCAACCAACTCATGGCTCTGGCACATGGATAACAAGCTTTCACGCACCCCTGTCCATAGCTAGCTCTTTGTCGATACTCCAATCCATACAAGAC